GATTCTTGAACACAAGAACTTCCCTTGTAGTATTGATTTTAATGCTTTTGCTTACTAATTTTATAATCTGTGTCATTTGATGATATGTTTCAAAGGATTGGTTTTTCTTCTCATTATGAGTCATATATATATTTTACTTTTTTATTGGATTCCAGACTGTGACTTTTATCTTGTTGGTTGCAGGATATTTGTATATTCCTAAAAACATTCTTGAGCTTTGTTCTGGCATGTGGTTAAATTACTCAGGAACAGTTTGCTTTCTTCAGGTCCTATGTTTAAGCTTTTTTACACTGGACTAAAAGAGCTTTTAGTCTGCAGTTAATTTTGCTTACTACATAGCCAGGTCTCTTCTGAGTAACCAATACCTTATGAATTATGAGGTTTTCCGCCCTGGCTTTTGGGAACAGGCACTATGCCCAGTTGTCTCTGAGCACTGTTCTTTCTAATCCCTTCCCATCCTTGGGTAATTCCCCAGCCCCATGTGCTGCTGAGGATTCACCTGAATACTGCAGAGGAAATTATCTTGGCTTCTCCTCACTCCAGCTTCCAACTCCCTAACTCATTGGACCTGCAGGGGTAAACACAGGGCTCACCTTATTTGTTTCCTATCTCTCACAGTCTTCATTTCTTTGTGTCTAATGTCTTGAGAGCCCTTTTTTATCCAGTTTTTAATTTTTAAAAATATTTTTATTGACTGTATTGGGATTACATTAATTAATAAAATTATGTATGTTTCAAGTGTACAACTCTATAATACATCATCTATATACTATATTATGTCTTTACCACCCCAAGTCAAGCCTCCTTTCATCACCATTTATCCCCCCTTTACTTTCTTCTTCTTCTCTCCACCCCCTTTTCCCTTTGGTAATTACCGTACTGTTTTCTGTGTGTAAGAATTTTGGGTGAGTTATTTTTATTTTTATTTTTTTCTTTATCCCTTCATCTAGTTCACCCAGATCCCCTGTCCCCTTACCCCCTGACAGTGGTCAGTTTGTTTTCAGTATCTATGACACTGTTTCTATTTTTTTACTTTTTTAAATTTTGTTCATTAGATTCCACATATAAGTGAAATTACAATACATGGTATTTGTCTTTCTCTGGCTGGCTTATTTCATTTAGTGTAATACCCTCTAGTTTCACTTATGCTGTCACAAAAGTTAAGAGTTCCTTCTAATATTTTATAGCTGTGTAGTATTCCATTGTATAAATGTAGCACAGCTTTTTTATCCACTCGTCCACTGGTGGGCACTTGGCCTGCTTCCAAATCTCGTCTATTGTAAATAGTGCTACAGTGAACACAGGGCTGCATATCTTTTTTCAAATCAATGTTTCTGGTTTCTTTGGATATACCCCCAGAAGTGGGGTCACTGGGCCAAAAGGCAGGTCCATTTTTAATTTTTTGAGGAAACTCCATACTGTCTTCCACAGTGGTTGCACCTGTTTGCTTTCCCACCAGCAGTGCATGAGGGTTCCCTTTCCTCCACATCCTCACTAACACTTGTTTATTGATTTATTGATGATAGCCATTCTGATAGGTGTGAGTTGATATCTCATTGTGGTTTTCATTTATATTTCTCTACTGGTTAGTGGTGTTACGCATACTGTCATATGTCTCTTCGCCATTTGTATGTCCACTTTGGAGAAGTCTATTCAGGTCTTTTACCCATTTTATACTTGGATTGTTTGTTTGTTTTTGGTGTTGAGTTATATAAGTCCTTCATATACTTTGGACATTAACTCCTTATTAGATGTATTATTGGTGAATTGTCTTTTAATTTTGTTCATTGTTTCCTTTGTCATGCACAATCTTTTTAATTTGTTGTAGTCCCATTGGTTTATTTCTTGTCGCAATATTTTTTTTCTGCTATAGCTTCTTGGGCAAGGGAAACAAAAGAAAAAAATATTAAGTTTTTTAATTGTTTCAAGTGGGAGGTTGAATCGGTTCTCAGTTACTCCATCTTGGCCAGAAGTGGAAAGCACCCTGCCCTCATCTTTAACTTAAAAAAAAAAAAAATGTTTTTCAAATAGGAATGAAAACAAATAGCCCTTGTCTACTCACTCCCAGTACGAAATTCCAGAGGCAACCACATTCAACTCCTGTACACTTTTATTCCCTGCAGATTCTGTACCGTCCCCTGCCTCTCCATGTAGGGAGGCCTTCTCTGACCACTCTGTCCAGCTCTGTCCTGTTACTCTGCTGCATTGTTCTTTTTTAAAAATGTCTTTATTGATTAAGGTATTACATATGTGTACTTACCCCCAATTGCCCTCTCACCACCCCCCCCCCCACTCATGCCCTCACCCCCCTGTTGTCTGTGTCCATTGGTTAGGCTCATATGCCTGCATACAAGTCCTTCACACTCTTCTCATTTCTTGACATCACCAGGTCTGCTCATACGTTTACAGTCGGCCTCCCTCACTAATAGAACACTCTCCCACCTGTTTTGTTCACTGCTGAATACCCAGAGCCTAGAGCAACTCCCTGCACATGGCAGGCTCTCGGGAAATAGCTGATAAAAAAACAAGTGATGAATGCCAGGTATCGTGCCTGGAGCTTTCCAAACATCGTCCTGTGCTGCCCCCACCGCAGAGGCAGAGGACAACTCAGGGTTTTCCAGGAGAGCAGAGCAGGAGAAGGGTTCCTAGGCAGCAGAGACAATATGGATCAGAGCTCTTAAAAACAAACAAACAAACAAACAAACAAACATCAGTCTGGCCCTTGCCGGTTTGGCTCAGTGGATAGAGCATTGTCCTGAAGACTGAAGGGTCCTGAGTTTGATTCCAGTCAAGGGCACATGCCTGGGTTGCGGGCTTGATCCTCAGTAGGTGGTGAGCAGGAGGCAGCCAATCAGTGATTCTCTCTCATCATTGATATTTCTCTCTTTCTCCCTCCCTTCCTCTCTGAAATCAATATATATATATATATTAAAAATCTGGTATGAAATTCAGGGAAATGAGATTTATTAAATTGACTCTATTTCTTGCTTCACATTGTCATGGAAATTCTAATTAACCCACCTCCTTTCTAAGATGTTCCCCCAGAATAAAAAAAAAAAAGGGGGGTGGGTGGGAGAACAGTATCAAATTATTTTGCATTTTTAAAATAGCAACATAATTAAAATATTAGAATTAAAATTTTTCAACTCCTGTGTACACCCACCTCCACCTCCACAGAATTTAGTGACTGTGAAAAGTGACTGTGGAACTTGGTAATGGAACCATCTGGTCGATAGAAGGATGACATTAGGTGAGGCAGCCGCTGTGTCACTCGTCTTATCTGGCCTCCAAGAGGGGGCGCCTTGAGGGGTGACCTAGTGGGTTGAACCTTACCAAGCCGTCCTCTTCCTCCTCCTCTGGGTTCTGCAGCAAACCTGCCAATTAAGGTGGTGGTTTTTGTGTTGAAACCTCAAGTCACTGGATTCGGAACATAACTTCCTTTATTTCATGCAGCCCCGCAGATGGAAACCGCTCTCTGCTCCCTCGTTGTCCTGATTTAAATCTGGGACCTAGAGAGAAGGCTCTGCATCCTGTTAACCAGGCCCCCAAGCTGGAGCTGCACTTCTTTTGTTTGTGTTTCTCAGGGAGTTTTCTTTATTCTGTTCCTGGCAGGGTCTTTGAAGAAGGATAGTTTCTTTAGTGAATTAGTAAACAGTTATTTTTGAAAAAGTAACGGAGGGATATCTGAGAGTTTGAAGCATATGTGTGTGCTTTTAGAAGAAAGTATTTTCACAAATTCACCCAAGGAAAGTATTTTTAGGAGGATTGCTTAGAAAAAATGTTAGACTAAAATATTGATTAGGTGAAAATGTACCTCATTTAAGTAGGTGGTGTTTTTCTTAGCTGAGTCATGCAACACAAGATTTTGTTTCTGATTTGAAGAAGCACAAAAATACAAACACATTTTGTCTGATGAGATAATGTTTGGCTTTCCATAACAAAAGTCGTATTTACATATAAAGCAGAACTATAGAGCCAAAGGGGTCTGGGTTAATAATGACAATATATGAACTTGTATGTCTAATTATTTTTTAAGGATAAGGTAAGCTTGATCTGACCACTACTCTCTTTCATGTGACCTCAACTTTAGTATTTTTCAGAAGGGCAATGGAAACAGGAAATCAGGCTTGCTAAGTAATCAAACAATATTCCCTCATCCCCGTGTTGACAAACACCCGCTCACAAAGCAGGAGCCAATGACCAAGTCTTGAAACAGCGGAGCGCCTTCTCTGCAGTTCCTGCCAGCACGCTTCCCCCGCCTCCACTCTGTGCTTTCCTGAGCCTTTCACACCGCGGCTCATCCCTTGTTCCGGTCTTGACCCACTGACCTGAGAATCAAGAAAATGTCATGTTAGTGCCTACTAATTAGTGCGCACAGAGAGCCTTTGCTTCTGGCCTTTCAACCTTCCCGAGGCGGGAGCGCAAGCTGTCACTCGTGTCACGCGGGGAAAAGGAGCCTTCGCCGCGAGCTCCCTGTTTTGCAAACAGCAGAACCCCTCCAGCTGAGACTGGAGATGAATATGCAGGTTAGGAAGAAATTAACCTAAAAGGCACTGCCGTTTGCATGGTTGTCTTCCCCGTGACACGGCACCGCCGTCACCGAAACACCCAGCATAGCATGCCGCAGGGCTGCGATTCTTACCGGAACTCGCGCTGGGGTGTCACACTTTTATTTCAGTACCAACGTCTGCATTGGATGACATAATGTAAAGGCAGGAACATCCTTTGGTTAAAATGTTAAGGTGCATTTTCAGGCATTTAAGTTCCGGTTGTTTCTAGGCACGCTCCCGGGGAGGCTGCAGTTTGTTAGCGAGCATTTGGCCGAGGCTCATTAATCAGTGCTGTTGGGCCCGGGGTCTCCTGGGCCTTCTGGGTTTTGGGGGATCAGCTCCTGTAATTAAAGGGATGAAATATATCATGGTCACAAACTTACCACATCAGACAATTGAGGGTTTCAAACTGGTAGAATTAATCTTTTTTTTTTTCCTTCCCCCCCTTAGGTGTTTAAGATAGAAGTGCTAATGAATGGAAGAAAACATTTTGTTGAGAAAAGGTACAGCGAATTTCACGCCTTGCACAAAAAGGTAATCCCTCCGCGCCCCCCCCCCCTCCCCATTTCTCTGTGTGGCAGATAGTATAACGTTAGGACTGCTTTTGGGGTTCCTAAGAGCATCAAGAGTTCTTAAAACAGTATTCTATCTTTTATCGTGAAGCGAATTTCATTTCAAAATACATTACTTAGTTCTTTACAGGTGTGCTTTCTGAGTGGGTGGGTGGGTTTTCTGATAAGATCTTTTGCATGAGCAGATGTGAGATGGCAAGCTGTTTGCAGTGTGCTGTGCCAGGGATGGTAGGTTCATTAGGAATAAAATCCAGACCCTGTTTTAGCCATGAAATGAACTTAATGGGCCTTCCAAAAGGGAAAGAAGAAAAGCACACTATTTTATTTTATGGGGAGAAATTTATTAAAATCAACGTATACTTGCAAATACCCAGAAAAGATACCTCCCACGTGTGCGTAAGGACTGGGCAACTTGTGAAAGAGGCTCACTGCTTTTTGTTGAATAGTAAAAGCTACAGAATAGGACTGGCATTTCATTAAAAGTCTGAGATAAAAGACAAAAATGTAAAAGGAATTGCTGAGTTTTTGGAGAAATGGTCAGTAAAGAGTAGAAGAGTGAATACTTTCTTATTTTATACCAAACATGTAATGTTTTGCAGATTATAGATTATCATTGGGGTGCTGAAATTACTTTATTAGTAGAAATACCTCATGAAATTGACCAGGAAATCACTGTATATGAGTTATTGCAATTATACTATTTTTCTTTCATACATATTCATATGTGTATATTTTTTGTATATGTGAACATATACACACATATGCACACATAATTTAATTTCCTTACTTTTGTCACTTAGGTAAGAAGTTAGGTGGGAAGATTTTAAGAAAGAGTCTATTTTTTTAATTGCATTAAACATGTCTTATTATAAATTCTCTGGGATATGGCAGGGCATAAATGATGTGATAACAGTGCTTACTCTGTTTTAAAAGTTCTTTAGCATTTTTTTGTAATTAAATTTTCCCACTTTCTAAAAGGAGAATCCCAGGTAGAGGTTTTCTGGTGGTTTTTTTTTTTTTTTTTTTTTTTTGAGAATAGGGTTTTGAGTGGAAACTTTAGTAGGATATGCTGGAGAAATGAGTGAAACTGCTTCCCTCTGTTTCCTTTAACCAGTTAACTGCCACAATAGTTTTAGCTTAGTGAAAAAAGGCCTGCCGCTTGCGTCTATAGACACTTCTGGCTTACAAATGGTTAAAGAGGAGCTCTCAGTTACCTGTACTACTAGGATCCCATCACATTTAATTCCCCAATTAAAATTGTGTTACATCCTAGTTTATATTTCCAAAAGAAACAGCACAGGTTCAGGCCTGGTGTTGCCAGCTGCTTCACAAAAGCCTCAACCCAGAGGCAAGAGAAACAGCCTTGGACTGTGAGTTTCACGTCCTCCTCAAGAAGTTTCGTTTTGTTTACTGTTCTTCAAGGAAACAGACTCCAGAGAGATTCCCACTGGGCAAATCCTGAAATAAGTCCTTACAGTGAGATTAAAACCGGAGCTCCATCCCCAGCCCAGCTCTGATGGCCAGGCAGTCTCCTTCCTAACCTCCCAGGGCAGCGCCTGCTCTCCATGACCCCGTCCCAGCCCAGCTGTCCCCAGGAGATGCCCGGGACCAGCTCCACGGGAGGCACAGCGGGTGGCTGCGAGGTAGGCCGCCCAGCAGAGGCTGCCCCGCCTCCCCGAGTGGAGGGTCACTCGCCCTCTCCTCTTACACAGTTTATTTTCTTCTGTAGAAAATGACCCTTTTTAGTGATTGTAGGCAGTTCTTAGGTACGTGTAGACAGAAAAAATACCAGATTTTCTAGGACTTCTCTCAATTTCTACAATTCCGTTAATTATTTTAGCTATTCTTATATCAGCAGGCCTAGTAGAGTTAAGAGAATAGGAATTCTCAGGTCTCTCAAATTTGCATGTTTCTAGCAGCTTTGTTAAAATACCCTCACAAGGACACAGAGGGGGAAAAAAAAAAAGCTTTTTGGAGCAGAATTTTAATTGAGAGACTCTCTCTAATTGTATTTACTACAGAGTAGAAAGCAGCTGCTGGAAGGCTCCACTGTATTTGTAGGAGATTTGGCAAAAAAGTAACATGAAAGTACAGATAATGGTAGGGTTAAAACAAGTCTGTAATCTTGACTGTAAAATTGTTTTAAGAAGGATTGAAATTGGCAAAAATTAGAATGTACAGACTTTACTGATTATTGCTGCCAGATTACATAACTATACTTTTATTAGATTTTTGGTACCATAATTCCCATATTTGCGTTTTGTGATGTGCTTTGAATGTTATGTTTTTACATTAAGTATTTTCCCTTTAAATGTAGTTAAATTTATTTTCATATAATTTTTTTTTTTTAAATTCAACTATTTCTGTAGTAGATGCAATTTGCTCTCTTGCCAGTGTCCTGATTTTTCTCACACTTGACTGTGCATTTATCACATGTTAAAAAGGTGTTTAGTCAATGACTTCAAGTTACTCCTATATAATAAAAGAGTAATATGCAAATTGACCATCACTCCAACACACAAGATGGCTGCCCCCATGTGGACACAAGATGGCCACCACAAGATGGCCAGCAGGGGAGGGCAGTTGGGAGGGACCAGGCCTGCAAGGGAGGGCAGTTGGGGGTGATCAAGCCTGAGGGAGAGGGCAGTTAGGGGTGACCAGGCCAGCAGAGGAGGGAAGTTGGGGTTGACTGGGCCTGCAGGGAAGGGAAGTTGAGGAGGACCAGGCCTGCAGGAGAGGGCGACCAGGCCTGCAGGGGAGGGCAGTTAAGAGTGACCATGCCTGCAGAAGAGCACAGTTAGGGGTGACCAGGCATTTAGGCTGGCAGGGGAGCAGTTAGGCATCAATCAGGCTGGCAGGGGAGTGGTTAGGAGGTGATCAAGCTGGCAGGCAGAAGTGGTTAGGGGCAATCAGGAAGGCAGGCAGGTGAGCAGTTGGGAGCCAGCAGTCTTGGATTGTGAGAGAGATGTCTGATGGGCAGTCAGACATCCTCCGAGGGGTCCCAGATTGGAGAGGGTACAGACTGGGCTGCGGGACATCCCCCCTCCTCCCCCCCCCCTGTGCACAAATTTCATGCACAGGGCCTCTAGTTCTAAAATAATATGGGAGCTATTAACCAGTGATCTGCATCTGTATAATAATCGATGCATGGCTCTTCTCTATGTACCATAAATACACAGAAATGCCTCCTGGTTTATTGTCAGGCTAATTTTGAGGCAGAAAGCCATTTCCCATTTGACAGTTCATCTGGTTGTCTGAAGAAAGTTCTTAAAGATTATTATTTCTTCCAAACTTTTGTAATTGTCAGTATTAAAATATGAAAACAATATTCTAATCATTTACAATTTTCTTAGGATTTCTTTTGAACTTTTTTGAAAATTTCAGGAGGTTTTGGTTTTTGTTTCCCTATGTGCATAACTTTCTTCCCCTCAAACCTGAATTATGCAATGCTGGATCTTGCAGAAAAGATGGGGGTTGGAGAAATAAACCATTGTTACCCACACATATTTCTACTCTCCTAATACAATTCCTATTTTCCTTCTTTTCTTGCATTTTTTAGTAAAACAAACACTGCTGCACTAACCATGGTCCCACACGGTGTTAGCGATGGTGTAGATATGCAGTGTGCTGGCTCCAGGAGCAGAATGTTCCCCTGCTGGCCCTTACCTCCCTTTACTCTTCAAGTCCTTGGAACAAGTCACGTGATCTTTCAGTGCCTCAGGTTCCCTGTTAGTATGGGACTAATTAGAGTACTAACTTCGTTGACTTGTTTTACAGACTAAATGATATGCATATTGCACGATAAACTTCCAATAATAGATAGTCTTCATTGCCTATAATTCCCCCCCCCCCCCCATATTCAAGAGTGTGTCCTTAAGCCAGTGTTTTTCAACCTTTTTTGGGCAAAGGCACACTTGTTTCATGAAAAAAATCACGAGGCACACCACCATTAGAAAATGTTAAAAAATTTAACTCTGTGCCTATATTGACTATATATAAAGTAATTCTCTTGAATAGGAATCAAATAAACACAAAGAAAGTATTTTATAATTACTTTATTATGAAATATTAAGTAAACAAAATAGTGAAAAATTATAAAATTCTTGTCTTGTCTGCACCTACGGCACACCAGGCAACATCTCGCGGCACACTAGTGTGCCGCGGAACAGTGGTTGAAAAACGCTGCCTTAAGCTAAATTACTGCAGGAAGCACTTCTGTCAAAGAATACGGATATGTTTGCAGCTACTGACATATATTGCCAAATTATTTTCTTCCAAAATGGTCTAGTGGATTTATAATATTATACAACCAGCAAGTTAGAAAGTAGCACAGCATCTGATCAGCTTTGAATATTACCCCCCCCTCCCAAATGATATGTTTATTCAGCAAGCAATCTTTGTTGCCCTGTTGCTGTTTTAATTGGTATTCCTTAAGTTTGTTTATGATTCTAGACTTTCCTTTTGGAATTCTATTTACTTGCTTTCTCATTTATCTGCAGGGGTCTCAGTTGTTTTTGCTCGTTAGTTTGAGTGGCCTGTTAATAAAATATTAGCCATCTGCTGAAAGTATTTTTCACCAGGGACCTTTCTATTTTGGCTATGATATTTATTTTAATTTACAAGTGATTTAAATTTTTATGTTGTCAATGTGTCAGTTTTTACCCCTTCAGATTTTAAATAAGATTCGTTGTTTCTTCCAGAGCTAGGATGAGTATTTGACTCCATTTCCTTTTTCTTGATTGGCATTTTTCACAGTGTGAACTTTGGATCACCTGAATCAGAGCAGTGTTTACTAAAGTGCAGAATCTGGGTATTGCCCAGACTCGCTGAATCAGCCTTTGTGACAGAGCCCAGTCACCTGCATGTTAAACCAGCCTTCCAGATAGCCTTCATGCCTATCAACATTTGAGAATTCCTCTGGGGTTAGGTTTTCAGAGGTTTTTGGTAGACACAACACTTGTA